ACTCTGTCACCCAGGCTGGAGTGCAGTGGCGTGATCTCCCCTCATTGCAAGCTCTGCCTCCCAGGTTCACACCATTCTCCTGCCTCAGTCTCCTGAGTAGCTGGGACTACAAGCACCTGCCACCACACCCAGCTGATTTTTTGTATTTTTAGTAGAGACGGGGTTTCATCGTGTTAGCCAGGATGGTCTTGATCTCCTGACCTCGTGATCTGCCCACCTCAGCCTCCCAAAGTGCTGGGATTACAGGCATGAGCCACTGTGTCCAGCAATTTTTTTGTTTTTTGTGTTTTTTAGATGGAGTCTCACTCTGTCGCCCAGGCTGGAGTGCAGTGACACAATCTCGGCTTGCTGCAACCTCCACTTACAGAGTTCAAGCGATTCCCCTGCCTCAGCCTCCCGAGTAGCTGGGATTACAGGCACCTATCACCACGCCCAGCTTTATTGCATTTTTAGTTAGAAGTGGGGTTTCACCATGTTGGCCAGGCTGGTCTCAAACTCCTGACCTCAAGTGATCTGCCTGCCTCGGTCTCCCAAAGTGCTGGGAATACAGGCGTGAGCCACCATACCCGGCCCTAACTTTTTTTATTTTTTACTTTTATTTTTATTTACTTATTTTTTTTGACACAGAGTTTCACTCTTGTTGCCCAGGCTGGAGTGCAGTGGTGTGATCTCAGTTCACCACAACCTCCGCCTCCCGGGTTCAAGTGATTCTCCTGCCTCAGCCTCCCAAGTAGCTGGCATTACAAGCATGCACCACCATGGATGGCTAATTTTGTATTTGTAGTAGAGACGGGGTTTCTCCATGTTGGTCAGGCTGGTCTTGAACTCCTGACCTCAGGTAGTCCTCCAGTCTCGGCCTCCGAAAGTGCTGGGATTACAGGTGTGAGCCACTGTGCCTGGCCAATTTTTTTTATTTTTAGTAGAGATGGGGTTTCACCATGTTGGCCAGACTGGTCTCAAACTCCTGACCTCAAGTTATCCACCCGCCTTGGCCTCCTAAAGTGCTGGGATTACAGGCGTGAGCCACTGTGCCCAGTCGACAATGTGCTGTTAAGTACAAATAGCAAAATGCCAAATGAGATGTTTGCTGTGAACACAACTACTTAAAAAGATCTCCTTTCCAGGCATGGAAAGCCTCAGTTTACTCTCACATGGACCTGAATTCCAATTCCCACCCTGCCACCCCCAGCCACACACGCTGTACGAGTCTGAGCGAGTCTCTCAAGCTTACAACAACAGAGTTCCAAATTGCATGAGTTTGACAGGAAGGCTAAATGACAGAGTACATAAAAAACACTCAGCCAAGAGCCCGGCACACAGTAGGTGTTATAGGCATGAGCCACCACACCCAGTCTGAATTTTCACTTTTTCATATTTTTAATTAAATTTTAATAGAGCCAGGCACAGTGGCTTATGCCTGTAATCCCAGCAATTTGGGAGGCTGAGGTGGGAGGAGTGTTTGAAGCTAGGAGTTCAAGACCAGAGTGGGAACATAGTGAGATCCCCACATCTCTACAAAAAATTTAGAAATGTTGGGGGCTTGTCTAGCATCCTTGGGGCTGAGATCAGAGTTGCCCAGGACCTGGGGAGGTGAGGTCTCAGAGGGTGGTGAGGGCACAGAGGAAGGGAGTGGAAACTTAACTCTCAAGCATCGGTCCCATATCCTTCCCCAGGCCAGGCCCAGGCCCTGGCCCCCAACTAGGAACAGTTGGGAGGTAGAGGTGGGGGGATCGCTTGAGTCTGGGAGTTCCAGGCAACAGTGAGCTGTGATGGAGCCATTGCACCCCTGCCTGGGAAACAGAGCAAGAGCATGACTCAAAACAAAGCAAAACAAAACAAAACAAAACTGAATAATAAAAAATAAATGTTGGCCAGGCACGGTGGCTCAC